GATGATCTGAGAAAAATTTCGGTGGCCTCGTACGCCTGAGGTATTATTGAGAAGGGTTCTTGTGGTGATGGTGGAGATCTGCTCCTCCTGGAGTATTGCTCTGGCCTTGGTCCTTGCCCGGGAGTGTCTGAAACATAAAACAAGGAAATGATCAACTGTTTCTGGCACACCACATGTCCCACATATGGGGAAAGGGGCCAGCCTGCATTTAAAGAGGAAGCCGTTCAGGTGCACATGACCTGATCTCAATTGATGGAAAGCGGACTGCACCGGGAAAGGTGCCCTTGGTGATCTTTTCCACAGCTTTTGTTTTGACAAGAGTCTGGATTTTTCCTGGGTAACACTGATTCGGATTGATGTGTCACGGAAAGCGGGGTTACGAGCCTCCCCTGCTTTGGCATCGGCTAGTTTGTTCCCAGCAATACCGACATGCCCCGGGCACCACCTCACTGTGATGTAAACAAAAGGAGGGATCATTTCAGCTGCTTCTTGTATTTGGGAGAGGAGATACTGTCCTGATTTGGGGAGTCCAGGCCTCCGCATCCGTTCTATTGCTGCTTGACTGTCTGTAAGTAGGACGATCTGCCTAAAACCGGCTTCGGTAGTTAGAACCCGGCCCATTTCCAATCCCAGCCTTATTCCTACCAACTCGCATTCAAAATTTGAGGCAATTTCAGGGGGGCCCAAGAAGGCCATTTGCACCGAAAGACCGTCCGCAGTAACTGCTGCCGCGCCTAGCCCCTCCTTGGGGTGGGCGGAACCATCTGTGAAAACTAGTAAAGTGTCAGTGTGATCAACTGATTCTAAGTAGCAGGAGACCGTTTCTTTAGCCGCTGATTTTGACTGCCTGTCAATAATGGTAGCTATATGTCTACGTGATTTCCAAGGGGGATGATCCCTGAGGATGTGATTGATGTTTTCCAATTCTTCACGAGCCAATCTGGCCAGGGCATCTGCTCCAAGGTTGGCGTGTACCGGGCTGGGAAAGGGTCGGGCATGGGAGGAGAGCTCGAGCCGAATTTGTTCCTCAATGGATGTGGTCTGATGAGTGTGCCTAGTTAACTTTGAGAGATAATAGTTAGTTATCCGATTAACAGCTGTTTGGTATAGACCTCTGAACGGTCGGAACCTCTGTAGATAAGTCTTGGGCGTTGATTTCAGAGCTCCTAGAGCAAAGCGGGCCGCTGAGTTTTCAATGAGTTCCAGCATTTCTGCAACCTTGCCCTTGTTGTTCCGTGTGAACCACACCTGGACTCCACATAGGACTTGTGGTATCAGCACAGTGGAAACTAGCAGACCCCGTTCCTGTTCCCGAATACCCCACGCTGAGCCTCCAATCTTGAGAAGTTGTCCCATGGTGTCATACGCCTTCTTCCATACCTGTGTATGCTGTTTGTTAAAGAGAAGTTTGTCGTCAAACCACACCCCCAACCACTTGGCATTGCAAAGAGGTTCTAGCGTCTGTCTGTCAAAGAAGAAGGAAGGCTTAGCTGATTTGGTGTGAGTGAATACCACATATTGTGCCTTGCGGCTGTCAAAAATTGCTCCATGGGATTTTCCCCACGCTAACGACTGTTTGCCAAGGGAGTGTAACTTTTCGCTGGCTCCTGCCATGGCCTTGTCTGCTGTCAGATGAACCACATCGTCTATGAAGCCAAGTGAAACTTCATCTCCCCCAAAATCAAAATTCTTTATCAGCAGATCAGAGTTGTATAATATGTACAAGATAACAGATAAAGGGAGTTTTGTCCCCTGTATTCTTTGGTCCCAAACCAAAGATGCATGTGGTAGCATCCTCGGTTTGGAACCGTATTTCAAGGTGAGCTGGGTGAGATGGGTGAGCTGGGTAAAAAAGACTGTAAAAACAGTTTTTGCCCAATTTTTATAAAAAAACAGCCCTAACCTACCTAACCCTAACCCTAAACCCTATACCCTAAACCCTATACCCTAAACCCTATACCCTAACCCTAAACCCTAAACCCTAAACCCTAAACCCTAAACCCTAAGCCCTAAACCCTAAACCCTAAACCCTAAACCCTAAACCCCAAACCCCAAACCCCAAACCCTAAACCCTAAACCATAAACCCTAAACCCTAACCCTAACCCTAAACTCTAACCCTAAACCCTAAACCCTAACCCTAAACCCTAAACCTAAACCCTAAGCCTAAACCCTAAACCCTAACCCCTAACCCCTAACCCTAACCCCTAAACCCTAAACCCTAAACCCTAACCCCTAACCCCTAACCCCTAACCCTAACCCTAACCCCTAACCCCTAACCCCTAACCCCTAACCCTAACCCTAACCCCTAACCTTAAGCCCTAACCCTAACCCCTAACCCCTAACCCCTAACCCCCCATTGAAGCGGGGGCCATTGGATTCCGGACAACTCCGCCAGGTCCCCAATAGCCCCACAATACCCAGACAGATGAACAACTCCGCTCGAACCTGTCCAGGTACAGCGCCTCTTCGGGGGTGAGGACCCCCGAACCCCCACAACCCTAACCCCCTAACCCCCAAAAAACCTACCCCCTAACCCCCATCGGGGGATGGGGCCAGTGGGAATTGAACCCACGACCTGCTGGGTGGTCAGATCTTAGGGACGGTGGAAACCACTGAGCTACAGAGACTTTGTCTCTGCCTTTGTTTTTGGAAATCTAGTCAGCTGGGGGACCCAGCTCAGGCAGCTCACCCATCTCTGGCTCCCCTTCGGTTCCAAACCGAAGATAATGGCACCATTTTCTTCGGTTTGGAACCGAAGAATTCAAGTGACACAGGTGGATAAAGGTGATCCCTGAGGGAGGCCTTTATCCAACTTGAACTCAGCTGATAGGAAGTCTGCCAGCCTCAGCCTAGTCGTCCGATCTTCCAGGAAGCGTGCAATTATTTTCCACAGGTAGGTGGGGCATCCCTTTTGCCGAAGAGAATGCACCAACCTACTGGGGTAGACAGAAGGATATGCTGATTTGACATCAAGGAAGAGTGCATGAACTACTTTTCCTTCTCTCCACTTTTTCCGTATCCACATTGTCCGCGCGACCATAGCATCCTCACCACTCTTTCCCCTTTGGCCCCCGGTGTGGCCCTCCGGCAGGATCTGATTTGCTTTGGCCCAGACAGTGAGGCGGTTAGCAATGATTGTTTCAAAGACTTTACTAAGGGTACTTAGCAGTGCGATGGGCCTGTAGGCCCCTGGCAATGTGTAATCTGGCTTGTTGAACTTTTGGATTATTGCTGTTGTAGCGGTTCGCCAAGCTCTAGGATAGTAGTCTGACTGGATACACCTGTTGAACAATTTAACTAGGATGTTAGTGACCTCGCTCGCACACAAGGACAGTACTTCGTTAGGGATCCGATCCGGCTCTGTGGCCTTTCTTTTCGCCAGGTGAGACAAGGTGCAGTCTACCTCCTCCGGTGTGATGGGGGGTATAAGACAAAGATAGAGGAGGCTGGAGGGGGGATATCCTCCAGGTCACATGCGCTGTTCACTACAGAGGTGCCTGCAAACAATAGTTTAGCCTGTTCTTCTTTGTCAGAGGTGACAGTCCCATTACTATCCTTGAGTGGTAGGATGCCCCCTCCACTCCGGGGTTTAGTGAATTGAAAAGCCTGGAAGACTGAGGTAGTGTCAGTGCTGGCAAGGAAAGATCGCCAGTGCTGCTGTTTGAGTTCAGTGACCTTCTCCCTGAATTTGGTGTTCCAAAAATGACATCGATCAGCATTCTCCGGAGAAGGTGCCATGATGAAAAGTCTCCGGCTTTTATTCATATTCTTGACAAGGGGGTCGAGGATAGCCTTATCCCACCACTTCTTGACCTTCCCGTGGTTGACCTTTACTCGTTTTCCCTGCGCCTGCCACACTGTAAAAATGCTGGATGTCAGGTGATTCTCCAGGCAGTCCAGGGAGACAGATGGGTCTGAGTGACTCTGCTTGCTAAGGTTGTGGGAGACATCGTTCTTCAATTTTTCCGGATCAATTTCACCTGGTCGGGGGGCCACTATATGGAAGGTGGGCTTGGGGGGAGCTTGCCTGATGGCAGTGACAAGCTTCTGGTGGTCCGAGCCGTGATTATCAGATGAAGTTGCGGTCCGGCTAATCAGACGGGAGGCTGCAAAGTTGGCCCAAGTCAAGTCGATAGTGGTCCTGGAGCCCCTGCTAGATATGAAGGTAGGACAGTCTTTTTCAGATACCAGCCGAAAGCCGCTTCTGCCACACAGAGCCACAAGGGACTTAGCTGATTTATGCACATGGCTGTATCCAGGGGGGTTCCACGAATGGTGATGGAGGTTGGCGTCCATTCCAATCACCGTTGTGATTCTCCGGTCATTGCTTCGGCCTAGCCATTCACCGAGCTGGTCAATTCCGTTGGTCGTGCCTGGTTGATTATAAAGGTTGATGGCCCGCATATGCGGCCCATGTTGGATAGTCAGTTCAATAGTCAAAAGGAATTTACTGTTACCTGCCAGGACTTGGATGTCCCGGGAAGCCACCGCCTTCCAGACATACGACACCACCCGGTGTTTATCCTGAAGATCCTTCGGAGAATGATTGAAGCTGTAGAAAGTCCACCAGCCCTTGTGGTCTGGTGGTAAACAGGTCAGCGGGTTGATCCATCGTTCCTGAAGGAGCAGAATGAGAGTGGAGACCGGCTCCGAATTTAGAATACTGTAGGTTGTCGCTCGACTATTGTGGCAGTTCAACTGCACAATAAATGAGGGCACAAAGTCTTCATTGCTAGGAACAGAGAAAGAGCTATCTACAACATTAGAACTAGAAACAATAGGTGTTAGTACGGGGGGTGTATTATTCATGACAGACATGATTTTTAGAAATAAGCCATGCCCGCTTTGCTCCACAAGCCTTATCAAACGGCGTATGAGATTCCCAGCATTCCTTGTCCTTCCCACCTTCCTTGCAGATGACGCAGACCTTCCCCGTTGCGTTTGTTGGTTCTTGACATTCACACGTCTCATGCTTGTTACCGCACTTGCCACACTTTGGGTCTCCTCAGCACCACTTACCAAAGTGCCCCATCTGCAAACATTTGAAGCATTGTGTTGAGAGTTTCTTGAATCTCTCAACCCTGTGAAAGCTAGAATTGAGAAAGAGGCCTCTCTGTCGAACTAGACTGTCAGCAAGGTTAGGATCAGTGAAGGCTATCACTACTGTACCAGCTTGAAGCGGATCATTAGGATCCCGAGATCCACCAAGCCAGCGCATCCTGAAAATTTTCTCCGCCATGAACTGGTTGTTTGCTGCAATCTGAATCTTGCCGGTAGCACTGTCGACGTTGAAGCTTCGGGGAATCCCATGCGCGAGGATGGAGTAGGTGCTGGGAGTCGATTCCAGATCCGGGTGGATCTGCTTACTCCATTCATGCTTGTTCTTGTTCAGCCAGTCCTTGTGTTGGCGATTCTTTGAATAGAAAGACACGTCACCTGATGGAAGGAAGCGAACTGCCTTAACCATTACCTTCCCGTCCTGTACCGACGCATTCAATTTTTCCAAGACCTCTTTGGTCTTCCGAACTACAATCTCTGCGTCAACTTCCTTCAAAGGGGTGGTTCCAGATCAGGCGTGGATGATGGTCATACCCGGGCGTGCAGTAGTCATCTCGGATTTGGTGGGTGGTTGTGGGGTGGTCTTCTGTCTGGCAGCTGTTGACGCGTAGGACTTGCTTGGCATTGGTTGTTTGTGGGTGAGTTGGCCCGCCTCAAATGGTGGTGACGCGTGAGCAGACTTCTCGGATCTCCTCGGCGACCAGCTGGAGGTCGCGACTTCGCCCCATCCTTCATTGGTAGCTTTCTATGAGTTGGAGGATCAAACTGTCTGTTGTCGCGTCAAGGTCCAGGGTTCCTGTTTCGGTTCCCCTGTTCGGGTCGGCTCTAATCGCTCTGAAGAAGCTGAGGAGGGGGAAATCCATTGGCGGAGGGGCGGCTGGTTGATGCGTGCCCATTGCTGATCTGGGTCCCGCTTCAGGGGCGGATTCCATGTTTACGTCCATGGATGCGGCCTGTCGGTTATGGATCGAGTCCGTCAGCGTATGAACCAAGAGACTACCTTTGGGGGGGGCGGGGGGGGGGAGAGGGGGAGGATCGCCAGGCGGCATGGGGGGGTGAGTGAAGTTCTGTCGATGGGGAGTGAGGTGTTTTGAATTTTAGGGGGGGGGGTTGATTTTTTTTAAAAAATTTGATGTGGTTGCGGACAGAACTGAACTAGTCATTAATTAGTATTTAATAGTAATTTACCATATATATATAAGTACATACACATAAATTATTACATCAGCAGGCCTCCACTAGTAGTGCAGATCAGTTATGCAACTCTTGCATGCATATGTGCAACCATTAGGCCTCCACTTAGTAACTCAATTCAATGCACGCAGACATTGCATAAAATGCATGTGGACAGGAAACCTCCACCAGGCAGTGCAACCATTTATGCAATTCTTACATACAGCAGTACCATATTTAGTTGTTTCCACAGCACAATTAGCTCAATGCATGTACTCTTTGCAGGAGGCAGTGTAACCCACAAGTTCACCACCAGCAAAATCACCTCAACTGCATCACCACCAGCAAAAATAACTCTGAAAAGAATATATAAGGAGACCTCTCCTTCACCAATTCCCCTCATCATCACCCAGCCAGTTCATATCCAACTAGCTCAGTGGTCAACACAATCATCACCCAGCAAGCACAGTACCCAGCTAGCTCAGTGGTCATCAACATTAAAAGTCTAGTCAACACCAGTAACACCAACACCACTGTGCATTGATAAATGCACTCCCCTCCCCTCCCCGCCCCTCCAAAAGGGGCGTGCAATCGCACCCGCCCGTCTCTGAAGGGCGGGTTTGATTGCAAGCCCCTCGGAATCCTGATTTCCCAAGGAAACAGGCTTCCGAGGGGCAGGCAGAAGAACCCGCCCCTCAGAGATGGGCGGGAGGACTTGCCCGCCAATCAAGAACCAAGATATTCTCGGTTCTTGACTGGCGGGCAAGTCCTCCCGCGGTTATGTCAGCAAAACATCCTAGGATGTTTTGCTGACATAAGAGAAGAGTTGGATCCTTCGGCGACACCTTCTTTAACAAGCGGTACCGCCCAAAGCTTACCGCACATAATAGAAGATCTCTTACCTGAAAGCAACAAAGTCATAGAGCAAAACACCACCGGTCCAACCGGTGTCAATGACCAGCCAGACTTGCCAGACACTCGGATTGTTCTCCCAACGGCCAAGAGGAATTCCTCCCGGCCGTCAAGACTGTACAATCCTGACAGCTGGGAGGGATTCCTCCCA